TCAGCAGTAATGCTTTTCACCTTCATGATTCTTATCATTCCCTCTTGTGCCTTGGGGCATTTTGAGGATTAAGTGGATATCAGGTACAAGAATGTAGCATATGCAGGTGTAGCTATGAAACAGAGTTTAAATATTTAAAAGAGGCAATTCCAATAAAATAGCTAAAGAGCAGGAGGAAGAAAAGAGAAGAAAGAAGAAAAATGACTAAGACAGACCAAACTCCATTTTAAGCAATTAAAGATTTATACAATTAAAGATTAACTATATTCCCAGAAGCTTGGATAGTTCATGCTGGAACACTCAGGATAAAATGTCTCATTAATGAGATATACTGGAGGAAGACTAGTTTTCCTTGAGATTCCCAGACCCCACTTAATGCCAAAAGCCCTGACCTATGCCAGCCATCTGAAAATATTTAAAATCCCCACATCTCTCCCAATTATGTAGCTGGTCCAATAAAAGATTTCATTCCCCCCCCAAAAAAAATCTTCTCACATATCCTGGACCACCATGGCTAAAACAACTCCAGCCCTGTAATGATATTTATACATGCTTAATTTTTTTTCCTCTCCAGCCTTATAACACACTGTTGAAAAAAAGTGGAGCACAAGTCTGTTGCCCTTAACAAAAAGGATCACTTTGTCACTGCATACATGGAGGTTGTTGTAAGGTTTTATAAATCTCGGCATGCTGGTGTTTTGAAAGTTACTTTGCAGGGAAGGGGAAGGGAATTGAAGCATTTATTTTTTAAGAAAAACACAACATTCCAGGAATTTGCAAAAATAAAAAGGAAACAAATGTTATAGTATCCCAGAACCAATGGCAACCCTTTGAACTCAAATGCGTACACAAAACTATCTTGAATAGCAATACCTTCAAAATAATTGTCTTCACAGACTATATACTATGCAGTAGTTTATCTTGGCTTATAAATTAATAGAATCTCAGAATCAATTAATTCTAACATTAATTTCAGTGCATCTCCTGCTTTGCATTGTGTCAATCAATTTGACAGTAAGTACCTAGAGACCCAGCAGGTATAGTCCAGATCAAGAGCTTTCTATTCACACACTGCAGAAAGTAAAGCTAAATCCTTGTACTCAAGTACTTTGTACTCCCTTGGCTTTTTAAGAACTACCACCTCTTGTGTGCATGCATGTGTTTCCCTAGGAGAACACTGCTGGAACTATTGATTTTTGGTAATGTAGCTGTACATTCTGAAAGTAAACATGTTACAAGATTTAAAGGGTGACCACAGCCATTTTTCCAGTTTTCATTTCAAGCCTTCTATTTTTACTGATACTTCGTCACTCCCTGTGGCTCCCAGTGAAAGCAGCCATCAGAGGCCACTAATATGGATCGCCCTAAGGCCCTCAAATTCAATTAGGAAAAAGGCCTTTCAGCACCTGGAGTGGCATCATCCTCCAGTCTCCAGCATGGGGAAAGCTGATATTTTGATGCACAAATGGACAATGTATTTGGGACCCTCAGCTCACACTGAGAGTAGGGTGGCCATCATAGAGGTCAGTCCAGTTGTCCTCTACTGATACGAAACCGAATGCCTTTATGTCCTCTATTTTTCTCTTGAAGCCGGATGCCTTTATGTCCTCTATTTTTCTCTTGATGGATGGTGTCCATCATAGAGAACATTCTGGTTTTCTGCTACTTTGTCTTCTGTCCTCTACTGATACGAAACCGGATGCCTTTATGTCCTCTATTTTTCTCTTGATGAGAAAAATAGAGGACATAAAGGCATCCAGTTTCGCATCAGTAGAGGACAGAAGACAAAGTAGCAGAAAACCAGAATGTCATCTATGATGGACACCCGAGCTCTCAGCCCCTCCCTAGCCCCAACCACTCCTTTCGTTTATCGTGAGAAGAGCCAAAACAGAGCTGGCAAAGAAACTCCTCATTGATCCCTCACTGATCCTTGTATTAGAGGATGAGATGCTGCACAGAAACCAAGATGCTGTAAAACAAAACACTTCTGCATTCTATGCTGTGGACCAGAAAAAAAAGCTGCGGTAAAGGCTGCTCTGTTCCTTGGGAAGTGTGACATCCATCAAACATATCCAATCCTTTCTCTTTTGCCTCTTGCTTAGGTTTTCACTCAACCCACCTTAACAAACAGGCTGCAGAGAAAAATACAGGGCACAGATCAATAGGAGCAGTTAGCAAGAAAAGACAAAACTCCACATGGTTACTAAAAGTAGAACCTTTTGGAGTGAGGCTCAGCAAAAGAACTGTAATTCTACAAATCCTGACATAATGAAGGATTAACTGTCTTGCTGCCTTAAGAAAAAAGAGCCACTTTAAAAATATATATATATATATGTGTGTGTGTGTGTGTGTGTGTGTGTGTGTGAAAATGGACTTATTGGGAGCAAAGGTCAATGCACAGAGTCAACACCACACTTACCTTTGCACGACTACTATTATCCAAGAGCCCCCTGCCTCCTCACATAAAAAAATCTGAACTAGAGGTGGAGGATAAGCAAAGCATGTGTGGGCTTTTTAACAAGGTTATGGGAGTACATGTGGGGGAGACTGCAGAGGATACTACAGAATTATTTTCCTTGGAAGCAGTTAGCTGAACAAAAGGGAACAAAGTACACAGATCCCCAGCTACCTCACATTTCCATATATCAACCAGTAAAAGGCCTCTTGGTGCACCAACTGAAGTGCTGCACCTTCCCACAGCCCCTTCCAATGGGCTGTGTCATAGAGGCACAGTCTCAGATGCTTAATCAGAGTAATCTGCCCTTAAGTGGGCCAAATATTTCCAATATCAGACACAGCAGTCATTGATTTTGAGTCAAGGAGACAACATTTCAAAATGTTTGTCTTCTTTAAGCTCTTGTTACTCAGTTAAAACAATACCCTGGGAAGTTGGCAACTTTTTTTTCTGAGGCTCAATCCCCATTCTCATGTGCAGACTACACTGCTGGGTTAGTGGCACTGACACTAACTGTATGACAGAAAGATGGAGCATTTATATATTCCTTTTGAAAAAAATCACATACTTTAATTTAGACTTTGCAGGTTTAAGCAGAAACTTTAGACCAAACTTTTTACAA